GGGGATGCCTCGGGCCGGGCACGGAGGGCCCTGAGGGCAAGGCGCGCGGGTAGGCGGGGCCCAGGAGCAATGGAGAGTGGACCTCTGCGGGAATTTGGTGAGCACAGGTTGAGTGGGGACCTCAGCGGGGGCGGACACAAGGCTTTGGGTTGGGTTGCCGGGAGGGGTATGCACGGAGGGGTGCACGCACGATATGGTTCAGACTGGCCCCTTCAGTCCCCGGTTAGTCGGGATCGAAGTCGGTCTCCCAGGGGGTGAGAGCTAGGGTCTGGGATCAGGCTCAGGTGCGCTTAGATCCGTGGCCACCGCCAGGTCGTGTGATCTTGGCCGGCCTCCTGGGTGCTTGCTTCACAGGCGCTGGGAACCCTCGTGTGAGTGTGTGCGCTTCTGTCTTACACCCATGTCCTCAGCGCTGACATTTATTCCTGTGTCATCTCCCTGAAAACAAGGACTTGTCACTTGACTTGTGTGTACCCAGCCTCTATGGCCGGGTCTGGTGCATCCCCTGCCCTCATAGACAGTTGTTGAAAAAGAAATGAACTTACCTCAGATCTCTGAGACCAGTCACATCCTAGAGGTGGATTTAAAAATAAATGGGAGGATCAGGTAAGGTTTAAAAAGCCCTTACCTTCTTGCCCAGCTTATGAGTTGTTGGTTGTCGATCTTAACTACAGAACAAAGGCGCCAGCAGAAGCTCTGGCTGGGAAGGCTACTGGTGAGTTTGGCGTATGGTAGAACTTCAGCAGTGTAGCTGGACCTAGGAAAAGCTGGGTTCAAGAAGGGCAGTGGTGGGAGAGGAGATGGGGCCATACTGAAGTCACCTGTGATTTTTTTTCCCCCAGAGAGGACGGTTAACATTTTCGTATATTCCCAACCAAGTGATGTGACCAGATTGCTTTGGGAGCTTAGGAAAGTAACTTGAAAGCTGGAGGGGGAGGAGGAGCGGGTCCCCCCAATGGCAGGGAAGGCTGTTGGAGGGGGAAGACCAGGAGTCCACTGACTTGGGAGGGAGGGCAAATCCAGGTGACACTGCTCTGGACCCTGTAGCAGGCTCAGGTGGGTTGGCAGGGTAGACTGTGACTTTCTTCATGTCTGAACTCCCAGAGCTTGTACTAGACATGACACATCATAAGCACTAAGGAAATACCCATTGACTGAATCTCCTATGCCATATTCACACCACTTCGGACCCTATAATCCTTAAGTGACATAATCCTCCTTGAAGGAAACCTTGAGCCATTGACTTTCGTGAGGCGAGAGAAGGAGTGGGCTGCCGTTCGCTTTCCCCTTCGGCTCTGATGTCCGGTTGTTTCCGTGTGCGCCTTTTGAGACGTGGAAGACTTAAAAGATCGACGTGAAAAAGAAAGCACGGGGTGATGATTTTGCCGCCAGTGCCCCGTCTGTCCCTTGGATGCGACGGTGAGCGAGGGAGGTTCGGGACGTGGATGGGGATCTCTTCTCGGATGAACGCTAGCGGTACTGTCGGCGTCACCCGTGGTCGACGTGGGCCCCTGCCTTTGCCTTCTTTGCGAGGCAGGATTCCATCGGTTCACTTATTCTTGCACCCCCACCTGCTACCTCCTGGCTGCAGTGCCAGAGAGTCTGGGGCATGACCATAAAGGAAGCAGACATGGCCGCTGCCCCCTTAGGACTAACTTGAGATGCCTGGAACTCCTCGTCCAAAGCAATATCTCAGTTCCAACATCTCCTTGACTCCCAAAGGCCCACTCCTTTCCTCTCTGTCCTTCATTAGAACTTCGAACCACTTTTTATTTTAACACTTAAATTCTTTCATAATGATGTGTTGAAGTCAGGAAGGGAGGAACTGACCACATCTTCCTCATCTTCACACATTCACTGGGGATTGGATGTTCTGGTACTTAGTGAGAGTGTCATGGTGGAGCTTGTTTTATCAGGTCCAGTTCCCAACCCTCCTCAGGGACTGGGCCAGAGGTGAGTCTGAACAGTTCCAGGCTCCAGGTAGTTTCTCAAACACTGGTGAAGTCTGCTGCCTGGACTTCCACCATCACCCATTCACTTTCAGGAAAGAGCCACCTTGCAGGAATCATCGGAAACAATGTTGCTGGTCCTCAGATGGTCCCATGATGTCATGACCTCTTGACCACGGTCCACGTGCATCCTCCTGCTTAGCGATGTGCTCTCAGAGTGGGCTGGTTCTCACTTTAGATTCAGCTTTTGCCTTTAAATGGAAATATTCGTGCCTACTGTCTTAGTCCCTTTGTGCCACTATAACAAAATACCTTAGACTGAGTAATTTGTAAAACTACAGAAATGTATTGTTCACAGTTCTGGAAGCTGGAAAGTCCAAGATCAATACACCAGCAGATTCAGTGTCTGAGCCCATTCTTCATAGGTGGTGCCTTGTGTGTGTCCCTACAGGGTGGAAGGGACAAAGGGGCTCCCTCAAGCTCTTTTATATAAGGATGCTAATCCCATTCATAAGGGTTCCGTTCCCATTACCAAATCACCTCCTATAAGCCCCACCTCTTAATGCTATTGTGTTAGGGGTTAGGTTTCAACATATGATTTATTGGGGGAGCATTAACATTCAGACCACATCACCTACCTTGTCAGGGTAGGGATAGTCCAATAAGGAGTTGTTCTAGGGCTTAACACATAGGCAATCAATCAATGGTCTCTCCAGCTCTTGCCCTCAAATGCCTAGGACTGGAGTAAATGATGGACAGCTGTTCTGCCTTGGCATGAGGGGAGGTGGACTCATCTTTAGGCATCTTTGTGGGTTTCCTCTGTGCCTTGAGTGCCTCCTGGAGAAACATAAAGATCTACATGGCTCCGTCCATCATGCTGAGCCTAGGGGTCATGAAGAAACTGTGGCTTTTCCTCCACCCTGGACCCTTAGTATTTACTGACTGGCAGTCATGAGTCTGTTTCCACCTAGAAGACTGTTCCTCTCTGCCAGCACTACTTAACTCCTCCCATGTAGCCCGTTCTCTAATCCAGGTGATTAAACTACCCACCAGCAGAAAATAGAGAAGATACATCACTGATATGATTCCTAGGGCCAGGGAATCTGTATGTTCATCTCCAAACCCAGTGCCAAGGTCCTTCACAAAAATACAGATGCCACCTTCAGAAAGGGTCTATGAGAAAGTGGATGTAGCCAGGCAACCTTGAGAAGGGTCACCGCACAGTGAAAACCATGCTGCGTTCTGGACAAACTCTCTGCCAGCACAGAGTTTCCTTTGTTCAGGGGCTCACTGGGCAAACCCCATAGGTTGGCTGGGGAAGGAAGTTAATGGGCATGTATGTACGGAGAGGGCATCTAGTCTGCATGAGGACTCAGAGCTTCTCTGGTAAAGGGCCATCTGAGCAGGCATGTGGGCCATGAGGGTGACTCACTGTGGGTCCATTGAGTGCTTCATCCATGTGGCCCTGCCTCAAACCTCTTTTACTGTCACTCCAGCCTTGCTTTTCCAGTTCCCAGAGGACAGAAGGCCCTGTCTTGGAATACAGTTGGGTGGAAGAGCTATGCCCTCCTGGGATGACTGGAGGGGCAGACGAGGAGAGCCTCTTATGCACAGAACTTGGAGCCAGCACTGTGCCCAGAGTGAGGCTGGCTAAGGGTGGGACCTTCATGATACTCAAGTGGTGAGTGGTTTATCTACTTTTGCCTGCTGGATGCTTCCAGATGCTTCTTTCAGTAGCTCAATCACAGCAATTTCCAAAGTAGAGCAGTGGATGGATGCCCACTCCAATAAATGTCTCTTCCTTCCCAGGTACCACCACTTCCAGTAACTTTTTCGTGTTTCTTGGAGTAAAAACTTTGGAATTATCTTGAACTTTTGTCTCCCCTAAATCCAATCAGATACTCAAACTGGTCTTTCCCTTCATGTCTATTTGATTGTTTCCATTTCCCTTTGGCATGTTTGCTGGCATGTTCCCTTTGGCATCTGTGAATGGTGGTTTCATTCAGATTGCTAATAGTAAATCACCTTCTGGACTTGGGGTCTCCAGGGTGGGCTGCATGAGACAATCTTTGGGGGTACAGGAAGAAGGTGCCAGGATTTCTATTAATATATACTTTGAACTAAACATTAGAAATAAAATGTTACTTTTTTTTAAATCTGTAAACTCACTTTAAGTGGTCACATGTCATGTCACATGATACACAAGGTATTTCCAGAGGCTGGCAGTGCCATTCTCTCTCATTCGATCATTTTTACCATATGTTGATATATTTAATTCATGTCTGAGCCGGGCTCTGTGGCTCAGCCTGTAATCCCGCGCTTTGGGAGGCTGAAGTGAGTGGATTGCCTGAGCCCATGGGTTTGAGACCCACCTGGGCAACTTGGCGAGACCTCATCTCTACAATAAATCAAAAAATAGCCGGATGTGGTAGCGCATGCCTGTAGTTCCAGCTACTTGGAAGGCTGAGACGGAAGGATCGCCGGAGCCCAACAGGTCGCGGCTGTGGTGGCCAGGAACAGCCACTGCACTCCAGTCTGGGTGACAGAGTGAGACTCCAACTCAAAAAATAAATTAAAAAAAAAAAAAATCAATGACTGGATTAGATGGATTTCTGGATTACATTAGTTTTTTGTTTGTTTGTTTTTAGGCAGGTCTCACTCTGTCACCCAGGCTGCAGTGTAGTGGCACTATCATGGATCATTCACCACAGCCTAGAACTCCTGGACACAGGCAATCCTTCTGCCTCAATTTCCTAAGTAGCTGAGACTACAGAGGTGTACCACCATGCCTAGCTAATTTTTTTTATTATTTTTGTAAAGATGAGGCCTCACTATGTTCCCTAGGCTGGTCTTGATATCCTGGGCTCAAGCAGTCCTCCCTCCTTGGCCTCCCAAAGTGCTGGGGTTACAGGCATAGGCCACTGCACCCAGTTATAACTTAGTTTTAACTAAAACTCAAAGACTAGGATAAATGGCTTCAAAAGATCTAAAAGAGTTCTCAAAAAATAATTCCCCCAGACTACACACAAACAAAAAATGAGAGAGACTTGTTTCTTACTTCAGAGGAGCTCTCGATCGGCCTCCAGATAGTATAAGGACAATTAGTAATCATCAAAACTATTTGAAACTTATTAACATCTCCTATCCTTAATGATTAACCTCATTCTAAGTGTATATTATGCCTTCATATGTCAATTAATGAAAATAGATTATTTACATCATTATGCATAAATGAATATGCAAATATTTGCGGGGATTATTTTTTTAATATTTACTGATTATTTCCATGGTCAAAAAACATTTGAGTTCTAGACCAGGGATTTTTAAATTTGGGGAGATTATGAATTCCTTTAAGAATCTGATAAGATCCCACTTTACACCAGTCAGAAGGGCCATTATTAAAAAATCAAAAAACAAGAGATGCTGGCACAGATGCAGGCAAAAGGGAACACTTATACACTGTTCATTACATGGACATATTGTGTAGTGGTGAGAATTAGGTCTCAGGTGGCGCATTCCCCAGAAAGTGAACATTGTGCCCCTAAAGAATTTCTGACCCCTAACCCATTTTCCCCTTGTAATTAGTACAACTTCTGTGGAAAGCAGTACAGAGATTACTCAAAGAACTAAAAATAGATCTACTATTTGATCTAACAATCCCACTACTAGGTATCTACCCTAAAGAACAGAGGTCATTATATAATAACAACACCTGCCCCTGCATGTTCATTGCAGCACAGTTCACAATTGCAAAGATGTGGAATCAACCTAAATGCCCACCAGCTGATCACTGGATAATGGAAATTTACACACACACACACACACACACACACACACACACCATAGAATACTATACAGCCATAAAAAAGAATGAAATCATGTCCTTTGCAGCAATATAGATGGCGCATCCTAAGTAAACTGACTCAAGCAGAAAACCAAACACTGCATGTTCTCATTTATAGGTGGGAGCTAATCAGTCACAAAGATGGAAATAATGGACACTGGGGGCACCAATAAAGGGGGAGGGAAAAATGGGTTAGGGGTCAGAAACTATTTATGGGGCACAATGTTCACTTTCTGTGGAATGGGCCACCTGAGACCTAATTCCCACCACTATACAATATGTCCATGTAATGAATATGCACGTGTACCCCCTGAATCTAAAATTTTAAAAAAGAATCTGATGATCACAGCTCATGGCAGCCTCGACCTCCTTCTCCCTCAGCCTCCCAAGTAGCTGAGATTGCAGGCACGTGCCACCATGCCCGGCTATGAGCTGGGAGTTCAAGACCAGTCTGAGCAACATAGCAAGACCTTGTCTCTACAAAAAAATTTTAAAAATTAGCTGGGCATGGTGGCACGTGCCTGCAATCTCAGCTACTTGGGAGGCTGAGGTAGAAGGAGGTCGAGGCTGCCATGAGCTGTGATCATTATCGTAATTGTGCCACTGCACTCCAGCCTGAGTGACAGAGTAAGACTCCAACTCAAAAAAAAAAAATAAAAAAAAAGAAGGATGTGAAAATCATTTTTTTTAACTTGTGGAAGAGAAATGCTACAAATAAAGGCACTGACTAAAAACTGAATAAAAGTTTCTCTTAGAATGGAATTTGTTAACTATTAATTCAACTTGCTTTAAAAAAAAAACAGATGACAGAGGACTTTTAGCTTCTGGCAGTAGAGATGAAGCTTAGATCAAACTAACTCTCCTGCCAGTAACAATTATAAGCCTCAAACAAAGTATGGAAAATAGCCATTTGAAGGCACTGAGGAGTAATCAAATGCAGACAGAGACTGGAGTAGACACAACCTTTAAAGGAAGAGAAGTAAACAAGCTAATATCTTCTTTTCCAGAGGACATGCTCTAGTCTTCAAGGCAATTGGGAATAGGGCTCAAGACTTATTGGACCAAGGAATTAGATGTCTGGGTCTGGGGCTACAAGTGCAGCTGGAAATTTAGTGGGGACATTTTAGAAAAGGGGTAACTTGAGGTTTGAGCCTCAAGATTTGCATATAACTTATCCAGAATCCGTGGCTGAGTCTTGAATCAAGAAACTCAGAAGACAGCAACAGCTGGAAGCCTGAAAAGGTAAAGTTAGGAATTCAAGTCCTACCAAGTTAGAGGGGCTTTTCAGTAAAGTCCCAAGGGACTATATCTTAATAGTAAGACCACATTTCAGGACTAAGGAATATGGCAGAAAAACCAAAATAGACACAGAGCCTAGAACCAAGCCTCAATAAGATCAAGGTAATATGCAGGATTGAGGTAAGTTAACTACCTGCTTAAATCAAACTCAACACCCTTCAGAAGAAGATAACAGAGTCCAGAGCCTCTGTAAAGTATTGCCCAGCATGTCCAGTATAGACAGGGAATTACTAGATAAGAAGAATCAGGAAAATGAGACTCAGAGGCAAGAGGAACAATAGTCAATTGGGAAAGATCAGTAGATGACCTAGATGTTGGAACTAGCAAATAAGTACTATAAAATAACCATGAGATGGATACAATGGATAACGAGATAGGGAATTTCAGCAGAGATTTGGGACTTCTAAAAATGAACCAAATGGAAAATGTAAAACTAAAAAATTCAATATTTGAAATTAAAAGCTTATTGCATAATATCAACAGCAGATTGGATAATGTAGAAGAAAGGATCAGTGGGCTTGAGTCCTGATCAACAAGACGACCCAAACTGAAGGACAGAAAGAAAAAAAGAACACATTCCAGGGATTCAGGATACAATAGTGTTCAACTGATTTTTGACAAGGGCACCAAGATGATTCTGTGGAGAAAGGAAAGTCTTTGTTAGTAAATGAAACTGAAATACTTGACTACCTAGGTGGAAAAAATTAACTTTGACATTTAACTCACACAATACATGATAATTAAATCATGATAAATTTTAGACCTAAACTTATAAGCTAAAATTATTAAAATTTTGGAAGAAAATGTGGGAGATTATCTTTGGTACCTTGGGGTAGGCAGAGATTTCTTAGTACATAAAAAGCACAGTCATGAAATACAAAATTGATCCATTGAATTTCATAAAAATTTTAGAATTCCGCTTATGTACAAACTCCATTATGGAAATGAAAATATAAGCCGCAAACTGGGAGAAAATATTCATAATACATAGATGTGACAAAGCACTTGTATCCACAATATATGTAGACTTCCTACGAATCAATACAAAAAAGATCACCAAGTCATTTAGATAATGGGCAAAAGACTTGAAGATTTGAACAGGCACCTTGTATAAGGAGATACACAATGGCCAAAAAACACACAAAAAGATACTCAACATTTTTACCATCAGGGATATGCAACATAAAACCACCAGAAGATACTACTTCACATCCACTAGAATGTCTACAATTAAAAAGACTGACAAGACCAATTGCTGGTGAGGACGTGGGGCAACTGGAACTCTCATGCCTTATTGGTGGGAGTGGAAAATTGTCTAACTATTCTGGAATGCTGTTTGGGAGTTTCTTAGAAACATAACCTACCATATGATCCAGTCATTCAACTCCTAGGTATTTCCCCACAAAAAGACTCACAAGGATGTTCATGGAAGTTAGATGCATAATAGCCAAGAGCTGAAAACAACACAATGTCCGTTCATAGGTGAATGGCTAAGCAAATTGTAGGTACAGATACTATACTTGTGGCAATAAAACAAGACACTAATTCAGACAACATATTTGATCTCAAAAATATTGTCTTGAGTAAAAGAAGCCAGATGTAAAATGTACATATTGAATGATTCTATTAATATGAAATTCTAGAACAGAAAAAACTAAACTATGATCATAGAAAGCAAAAGAGGAGTGAACTTTGAAGGTGGGTTGACTACAAATGAGTATAAGGACATTTTGGAGTGAAGGGAATGTTCTATATCTTCAGTGAGGTGGTTGCTATGTGGGGTGACCCACCATCCAATTTACCTGGGCGTAAGGGGCTTCCTGAGGTCTGGAGCTTTCAGTTTCAAAACTGGGACAAGCCCAGGAGCAGTGGCTCATACCTGTGATCCCAGCACTTTCAGAGGCTGAGATGGGAGGATTGCTTGAGTCTAGCAGTTCAAGACCAATGAGACCACGTCTCTACAAAAACCCAGAAAATTAGCCAGGTGTGGTGGCTTGTGTCTGTAGTCCTAGC